ATGGTTCACATTTATCCATCTACTAACCAAGACAGCGCAGCAGCTCGTTTCAGAGTTACAGGTAAAAGGAAGATAAAACCCTGTAATGAGCTCTGCTGTTGTTACGTTTAGACTAGCTTTGTGCAAAGCTGTTTTTAGACTCACAAGCAAACACTCACACCCTGAAGTCAAACATTTGTTGATCATCAACTATCTGCTTTTTTTTTTTTTTTTAATAAATGGGTCGTCCTTGTGTCGGACACTTAACCATAACCTGCATCGTTCATCATATATATGACGTGGCACAGGTTTATAAGCAGGCTCCTCATAGGCAGTGCAGCAGTGTGATTACACAAGTCTGTACAAATCTTTGACTGGACATTTAACCTCCTAGGACCTGCGTCCACATATGTGGACATCACATTCTTGGTCATTTAGACCCAAATACTCAATTTTGCTCTACAAGGGCCTGGTATCCACTTACGAGGACGTTATACTGCTACTGTTCTACTGAAATTTTAAACAAATACCCTCATTTGTGGCTCTCATTTTTCTTAGAAACAAAAATTGGGCAAAAAAAAAAAATGCTGTAATTGTTTGTTTTTAGATTCATCAGGTCAAATCAGCCCAAATATCAAAGATAAATTAAAAATGCTGTGAAGAGTTCAGGTCTTAGAGGTTAGAGACCAGTCCACTGATTTGCTCACCTGTCTGACTCACACTGGGCACTCCAATACATGAATACATAATTAATTGAAAAAAAATTGGGTTGACTGCCTTGAAAAAAGTAAAGTGGTGTCAATACTACTTGAAGGGTAATATTTGTTCTTCTTTATTACTATAAAACAGGACGGTCCCTAAAAACTAATCAGATTTTACATTTTCCGAGTGTTGGATGCTGCACATCTGGAGTCAGCCTAAAACTGACTAACTTAAAGTGTGAGGTTTTTGGCAAACCCACGTCCCCTCATCAATATGGAAATTCATGCAAACGTCTGCTCCAGAATCTAATTGGATCACCTACTGCATATGGACTGAGCCGTAAGAAGCCTATGAAGTTTGTATCGTGTCAGACATGTTCATAAGAGCACGCCAACAGCTGCACAGAGGCAGGAAGGAGCCGCACTGCTTGTGAGTTTGATATCAGGTCTACAGTTTGAGTAGGAAGTCAAGTTTAAACAGCTTTAAGCAGAAATGAAGAGAAACCTGCTGAGGTCTGGTTAGCTCACCTCTTTTTACTTGTTTCATCTCAAGTCAGCAAGACTTCACACAGCTGACTATTAAACCACCGTGTTAGCTTCATGTACGCAGCAGTACTTTAAATGCACACTAGGATCATGCAGCAGTGGCAACTTACTGAGTTGCAGGCACCGGCACGCTCCACCTTGGTGAGTCCAGACAGATCCGTCTTGAAGACATTCATCTTCTCGACCAAGGTGGTGAGAGCTGTTTCTGTGGCCTCGCCCACCTTCTCATAAACCCCTTTGGCCTGCGAGAGAGAAAAAATTCATCAAAACACATTGATCAGCTCTTCCTTGGACTGGTTTTTGTCCCGTCTCCCTCTCCTAACCCCTGACTGGTCACGGGAGTTGGCCCCGCCCCTCCCTGAGCCTGGTTCTGCTGGAGTTTCCTTCCTGTTAAAAGGGAGTTTTTCCTTCCCACTGTCACCAAGTACTTGCTCATAAGGGGTCATATGATTGTTGGGTTTTCTGTATTATTGTAGGGCCTTTACCTTATGGTGACTGCTGTTGTTAGGATATGAATAAAAGAGCACTGAATGAAACTGAAAAAGTTGGAGTGTTCAACGTTTGGTACACTTGGTTTATTACAAGCATTAAATGTTAAATATTTGTAACTATTTTAGAAGCAGACACTTGTTTGGCTTCATGTTCGTTTCCATGGAGTCAAAATAGCTCAAGACTGACTGGACAAACATGCTGAAAGGATATCTGCAAGTCATTCGCCACGACCTCCACCATTGCGTTTGAGTCATGCATGCAAAGTGGCTTGTCCTCGCCAGCACTAAGCCGGCAGTCGAGATGAAGCAGTAACGGCACATCGCACATCATTTGCTTGTGCGACTGGCCGTAGACGGGAATTAAACACCTCGCTCCCCTCCAGCATCGGCTCCTCTGCAACTCTCCTGTCTCTCTCCTGGTTTGGCTCAATCAGACTCTTTATCCAAAGTGTACAAAATTAGCAGAGAAACAGCCATTTATGAGAACAGACGCAGATACGATGGAGTTTAGAAGTGCTGCATGCCTGGCCTCTATCCTCAGCATGGTTACCATGATACCATGGTGATGACAAATAGGTGAGAAAAGCAATTCAAACCAGAGAAAAGAGATCATACCAGAGTAAAATTAGCTCAGTTAGACAAAAAGAAAAAAAGCAGTGAGTGTGATTAAGGGCTAATAATTATGGAAAATATCATTCGTCTAATTCTACGTAGAAAGTTAGACCGATGGATCTGTTTGGAGCTTAAAAGTGTTCAAAGTGTGTGCTAATGACCTCGTTATAGTCCAGTGAAGAATCATTGCACATCGAGCACACGGTGGCCAACTCCACAAGTCCATCATAGTCTCCACACTGGACAGGCTTGTTGTCTTTGAGTCTGAAAGAACAACACACACACATAAAACGTCACACTTCGCTTCACTGCACACACGGAAATCTCACGAATACCCATGAATGGGGTTCACGTTCCACAGCTGATGGAGAAACCGTGCTCGGACGGCAGTAAGGAGTGTATCTGAGTGTGTGTGTGCTCACTGCATGACAACCATGGATCTCTTCCCAGTAGAGACTGCAACCGTTGCTAGCGAAGCTCCCACACAGTAACCCACACTCTGCTGTTATGAAACCGTAGGTTCATCCAGAGTCACAGCGATGTAGTCAGCAAACGGCAAAACAAACAGCATGTATATACACAATGAACCGCAACACCCTGCCCCTGTCTGCTGAACGCTTGTGCTCAGAGGCCACCTGCCTTCACTGCTGCACAGTTTACATCTCTGAGGTTTCAAAAGTGTCACAGGCAACGTCAAAAAGGGTCAAAAATTCAGTTTGTCCAAGTTTGCATTAACAATAGTCGATCATTAAGGTGCTTACTGGGAGTAAAGTACAACTGAGACTTATGGGGCATATATAATTAAAGCCACATGTGCTGTAACACAACCAACTGAGACTGCTCGCTGTTTTTATGCTGCACCAACTGAAGCAAAGCTACTCAAACTATTCCTGCAAACTGACGGTGCATCAAATCTCAGAGCACATCGATTTATTGCATTTATGTTTAATCTGGTTAAGAAGAAAGGAGGAGCTGGGAAAGGAGGGAGAGACGCTTTAACTTGTTTTTCATTCAGTGTAGAATCTGCTGGTAAAAAAATGAAAAATCTGGAAGGCTTAACAGCAAACATTTTCCATGTAATGAGTTATTAAAGCACAGAGGCAGAACAAGTAATAAATCCAGAATGGTGGTACTCACATTTGTCCCTCAGGGGCATACGTAGAACCAGTTATAGAGAACTCGTGCAGGGTGCAGCTGGAGTCCTCCACCTTGTCTAGGATGAACATCTGGAGAGAGAAAAAGACCAAAGCAAACAGAGGTGGGACCTTTAGCCAGTTACAACTGTGGCTGCTCCTCGTTTCGCAGCTGTCCACTGCTGTAAAAGATAATGACGGCTCAAATTGTGTGAGTCGGCCCGATTTTGGAGCAGTAAAAAAAAAAAAAAAGAAAATTTCATATTTTCAGTAGCTAATTGGATCCACCCACTGACGAGGTCCTGTGGACCAAGAGAAACCGGCTGGCGATTACTGTAGGAACTGAGTGAACTAAGTCAAACAGCTTACTATAATAACGAACACGTGACTTAATGTGAATAACTAAAAAAACACTGAAAGCACAAAGCAGTCACGCTCCTGCTTTTTGCCCCTTTTTAAGGAAACTTTCAGTTGCATCACAATCAAGAAATGTAGCTGAACTGTAATTGGTCGGCTGTGGCTCAGGTGATCCCTGACTCATACTGAAGTTTGAGATGAATGCATTGGAGGCAACCTGGGAACCGATTACATACCTGACGTGGACCATTGCAGCGCTTTGATTCGTTTCCTTTTCTGTTGCAGATTTGTTTCTTGTCTCACGCACAGTTGCTGAACCGTTTGTGCTGATATGCTGCGTTTGGTTGTTCAGACTCTTTGGTCTCATATGTGCAGACGTTGTTCCAGGAGCCTCGCGGTTTGATCAGACGCACGGTCGTGTTCCTTCTACAGCGAGCCGGCTTCCAAACCCTTCCAACCAAGCCGTACTTGTTCAGGCTCTTTTCTGACTGCACTGTTGTAACCTTTAACATGCTGAGGCCTGCAGAGTCTGTAGCTCTTGGGCTTTTTTCAGTGAGAACTGTGGGGTCTGGGAATTTGCTGGGACGTCAACTCCTGGGAAGTTTGCATTGTGTTAACACACACCTAAATGGTTCATGCCGGCAAACTGCCAGAGCTTCTTCTTTTATAGATGCACAGCTGCTGATCAACTAATCCAGTGCACTTGATTAGCAGCTGGCTGCTAACGACTGGGATATAACTGTAAATATTAGACTATAGTGTGAAAGCAGCCAGAACAGAGAAGTGTGCTGGTGAAGTAACTTAGTAATGGCATTTACAAAGTACATTAGGCTAAAATTAGCCACCATCAAGGCAAGGCAGAAACGTACTGAACATATTAAAGCAGTAAAAAGTAAATACTTGCTGTAAACAGGAAGTCTTTAAGGCTAAAACACAAACGAGGAGTTCTGTTTATCAAGTGTTGCTGTGATCCAGAAACATCAGCCCCTACTGCATACCGGCGTCTGCACCGTACGGGCACTCCTTTCTCCAATTTCTTTGTTCCTCTACACATGCAAGCAACACGGGAGTTGCAGTTGGCTTCATCGGTCCCGGTTACGAAACACGCTGTAGTGAACTGATGGAAAAGAAGTCAAGTGAAAGCAGGAGACAGAGCTGCATTCCCAGAGCACTTCAAGGACTTGTTGACTGCTTTGTTGGCAAGACTTCCCCCAGGAGGCGCAGTTCACGATGTACTGCTAATGCTAATGCATCAGTAAAAACAGAAGGGAGAACAGGGGCCAGGATACGCCATCGCCCATATCCCAGTGACTGTGTCCACGCTGCTCATTTCAATGGGACAGACATTAGGCAAACAGACTTTCATTGACCTCAAGTCGTTTAACAATATTCTGTGAAAACTTCTAAAGATAAGACATGCATGGACAACATGCCCAGCTCGACTTAGTTTGAGACTGAACAAAGTCCTTTTCTTGCCTCTCGATTCTCCTGTAACTGCGAGCGTGTACGAGTCGCTGACTTAAACCCACCGATTAGTGTCAAAGGAGCTCTTGATCAGCGGCAGACTTCACCTGAGAGGAGACCGCCATTGTTTGCAGAAAATGCAGTTTTTAAGCTATTATTCACGTAAAAACTCTCCATGACAGCAGAGTGGTACATTTACTCAGTGGCCCACAGACTTTACATGCAGCTCTTTGGCTCTGAAAGTAACCCTGGTCAAAGCTGCCTTTAACCTTCTTTTAAACTCCTGGCCAGCAGGGGGCAGCTCCTCTTTAAAAGCCAGTCTGGGAAAGACTTGTCCTGGACTCATGTTTACTTTTGGACTTTGTCACTTTGGATTCAGATATCAGCATTAAAAGCTTCCTTTTTGTCTCCACTCAGTGACTGTGTGCAGGGTGGCCGTTACCTTTATCATGTGATGGAGCATGCAGCGTCGGTTTCTCAGTCAGATCAGCTCGAACCAGTGAGCAAATCTGTCATTTTTATATATTTTTTAATTTATTTTCCTTGTATCCAGTCGACACTCTTGAAATTTTCTTCATTTAGCAGTGATGTTTAAGAAAGCGGTGATGTTTTAGCAACACACACACACGCCCGTTCAGCTATCTTAGTGAGGACCTTCATTGACATATTGGTTTCCCTAGCCCCTCACCCTAACCATTAAAAATGAATGCCTAACCCTTTTTATGACTGTTTCAATCACAAATGCAACAAAGCTCATCAGAGGGAACCAGGACGAGGGTTGCTGGGTTTAAAAGCTGCAGACAGCAGGCTGCAAACTTCCAACTACAGTTTGTAAAGGGAACCTTTTTGCTTTGCCCTGCTGCATTTTTGCAGTGACTGTGAAGGACCTATTCATCTGGCCACTCTGTAACCTGAGCCAACAGTTGTATTACAAATAACAGAGCTGTCCTGTTACAGTGGCTAAAACCTTTAGCCGGGTTTATACAACACTGTTGTTTAAAAAGTGGGACTTGTTATTCCAAGATTTTCCATTTCATTTTGGGAGGTAATGCCCTTTAAACAGCGCCGACCTTCTGTTCACTTCTTTATTTCACAAAGGTCAGCCGTCAGACTTTGTTCCTTTCTTCTGTAATAAATCAACAATGCGCACAGAGCGGCACAATAACTTTCACAAAGCAGAGGCGAAGGAATAAGATGAGGTTGCTCTTTCATCCGTGGTCAGTTTTCACTCACGATCTGATCCGCTGTGGTCTCCAAGGAAACACGGCACAGTGAGATCCACCACTATCAAACGTTTTTTCCCATACTCATTTCCTCTGAGCTTGCATGGGGATGAATGGTGAGCAGCTGTTGATGTGCATTTGTGAAAGGCTTTTTAGTGCGTGCCGGTCAGAGTGTGAGAGAGAGGAGGGAAAACAGAGGTATAACGTCAGGATGCAGAGGGGAATCCCTGGAAATCCTGCTGATATGGGGATACCCCCGAGGCCAGGGAGACACATGGCATTATCAGGGCCACTGGCTGCAGACCAGTACAGGAATAAGCACAGATGGATACGCCTGAGCAAACAGAGTATAAATGGTGACGCACAGAAAGCATTAAAAAACAGACGGAGGCAGTCTTGGTTCAGCATACAAGCACCACGAAGGGGGAAAGTGAAGCTAAATATGAAGCGGACCTATCACCAGGAAACAAGTGGTGCAAGAAAAAAAAAAAAAAAACCTGCAAAGCGGAAGCTTGATTCATCTTTGCAACAACGCAAACGTGTATGCTCCTTATCTCACGGCAGAGAGCTGAGAGCAGCAAGCCGGGGAGTATAGGTGGAAGCAGAAGGTCAATATTTACCAACGTCTGCCTGCCTGAGAGCATTTCAGGGTTGTGGTGAGATCACTCCTCCATGTCCCTGCTGCCAGAGGGAACTCCCTGCAGCTACGCATTAATCACTCAGACGCTCCACGTCGACTCGTGGAGAAAGGAGGGGCGAGCGTTCGTACGACAAGAACAGAGAGTCGGCTCTGAAGCCATTTTGAGGTCGAAAGGAATTCACAGAGACGCCGATTATACAGCAGCTACTGTTGCTTTTTCATTTCCTGCCTATAGGAAGTCATCCTGTTGGGATATTTATAGAGCAGCATTTCATCTTGTTGATCGATAGCATCTCCATCTAACATAAAGAGCCAAGCTCTTCTTGTCCCGACGTGGACCTCCGTGGGTCCAACCTGACTATCCACCAGTATCTGTGGGTTCCCTTCATTTTTGCCTGTTGCATTATTCTTAGGACACCATTAAGCTTTTTTCCCAAGATATATAAAAGGAACTGGTTAATTAGAGCATCATTTTTGATCAATACAATCAATTCCTCTTTGGGAAACCAATAAGCGGCCAACAATATCTCGTCTAAACAGGGTTTTGATGCTGCCCTGCTCGACTAACGAGGTCATCATTGTGGTGAGATGGGAGATCGTGAGGACAAGAGGTGTTAACTGAGATTAGGGTGTGCATGTGTGCAGAGCTCGAACCAGGAGCCAAGTCAAACAGCAGTGCTGGTATTTACTCTGCGCTTACAGCAAAGTCGGTTAGCAAGCGACACACACATGCACACGCTAACAGACAAAGGGAAGGGTGAGGCTGTGCACCATACGAGCACTTGTGAATTGTGAACAGTGGATAAAATCTTTCAGTGTTTATCACGTATACTGAAAGCTAGAGAAAGGTTCAGGGCCTTGTGTTTGTTCAGGTGACGTTCTGGAACCCGTCACTGCTAACCGCTAACAGCCCGCGCTGGTGCTGCTAGGTCATGCCAGCCTGTGCTGCTCCTGCCAGCTGCTATCTCGAATCTGCCAAACATTACGGCACCACAGGGATTTCTCAGCATTCTTTAAGCTCCACGTGCATGAAAAGAAAACCTCAGAGGGGGGAAAGAGAGACAAAAAGATCAGGATTGCACAGACTGGCAGCAACAATCCCAAAGTATTCACCTGGAAAACATTTTTTTTGAGAGGGAAGACCCAGAAGTGCCGGGCACTATGATAGAAGGTGGAATTAATTACTCTACTTTGGCTGAGTTGAAGAAATCTCAGTCAGAAGCAATATCGTCACAGAAGATTTTCATTTCCTTCCGCAGTATTCGACAGCATGCTCGGCGTAAACCTGGGAAGCCTGAAGCACAGGAGGACTGTTTGTCACTTACTCTGCACACAGACATCTGGTTGGTGGTGAGGGTGCCCGTCTTGTCAGAGCAGATAACGGAGGTACAGCCCAGGGTCTCCACAGACGGCAGGCTCCGGACGATGGCGTTCTTCTTGGCCATGCGACGTGTGCCGAGGGCCAGGCAGGTGGTGATGACGGCCGGCAGGCCCTCGGGGATGGCGGCCACTGCCAGGGCCACGGCAATTTTAAAGTAATAGATGGCCCCTCGAACCCAGGAGCCCCCGTGGACCGGGTCTCCGAAGTGGCCGATGTTGATGACCCACACAGCCACGCAGATCAGGGAGATGACCTTTGAGAGCTGCTGGCCAAACTCGTCCAGCTTCTGCTGCAGCGGTGTCTTCTCTTGCTCCGTCGACGCCATCTGATTACGGATCTTCCCGATCTCTGTCGAGACACCCGTAGCAACGACGACACCTATGGCACGACCGGCAGCAATGTTTGTGCCCTGAGAGAAGGACAGAGACATACGTACAGGGAAGTCAGCACAAATCCGCCGTCATCTGGGAGAAAACAGACAAACTCCGTCACCAGCTCACAAACAGCAACATGGCCGATTACTACGAGTTTGGCCACGAGACAAGTGAAAGAATGTGATAGCTGCCATTACTGCTTTCGACTACGTGACCAAATGTAAGGACTAATGTAGCTTTGTCTGTGACAACATGAGTTTTTGATTTGAAAGCTGAAGATAAGCACGAGTCGGGGGTTCTTACAGAAAACAACATGTTCTTTTTGTCCTGGTTGACGGCTCGAGGGTCAGGAACAGGGTCGGTGTGTTTGATGACAGACACAGACTCTCCTACAGAAAACAAATCGAGACGGTTGGAGGTGTAGCAGGTGATTATCAGACCGTGCTTCAAAGCAAACACAGTGAGGAGAAAAACATCAACGGAAATCTTGGTTGCAACCAGTTATTGGGAAGCCATGGAGAGGAGCTTCTGGTGAGATGTAATAAATACCTGTGAGAATGGACTGGTCCACGCGCAGGGTGGTGGACTTTATCGAGGTCACTCTGATGTCAGCAGGCACCTTGTCACCAACTAAAAGAAAAATATTAAGAGATTTAAAATCAAATGTACAAAAGCAAGCAGCTCTGTTGGGCTACATTTAGACTTCCTGTGTTAGCACCTTTACATCACTCCATCAGGAGTTACAGGTAACTGGAGTTAGGGGTGGCTGCAGCTCAGAGCGGGTCACCTGCTAATCAGGCGACGACCGATCCACTGTTGATGTGTGTGACCGGTTCATAGAAAGCAGTTAGGGGTTAAAAACGCGCCTGTATGACAGCGTGTGAAAGAGCACCTGTAGACAGCTCAATGATCATTTCTCTAACTATTTGAAAACCTCGATCTGCTCGTGTTCTCCTGAAAATGATTCACATTCTGCTCCCATCACAAAAGAGCCTTAATCCTCAGACGACTATAATCGATGCAGTATTAGTACTGTACAAATACACACACGCCAGTAAAGGGTGTAGGGGCAGCTGCAGCTCAGGAGGTAGAGCGCGTCATCTGCTAATCAGAAGGTTGGTGGTTGGATCCGGTCTGCAGGACAAATATTAGCATCTTAGTGGAAAGATGGCCAAGATGCTCCCGAGGAGCTGGGAAGTGTTCGAATGTTAGACAGGAAGCACTTATGTAGAAAAAAAGTGCTGAATGAGCACGTTGCATAAAGCACTGAGTGCTCAGAGTGCAGAAGCACCACATGAGAAGCCATTCATTTACCAGTTAAAGAGACAACAGGTAACAAGTTCTGCTCATTTCAGTGTTCTGCAGATGGACACTCAGTTACGTCCCTATTTAACGTCCGTGCTGAAACAATAAATCCTGAAGCATCGGTGGGTTCAGTCCAGGCTCGGGCTGCAGGTAAACAACAGCTCGATACAACCTTGATGGAGTCGCGTAAAATGATTGATTATTTCCTTCTGTGTCCTCTCTGTTCCTCTAACACAAACCACACCTGAACCCTGCGTTAAAGGCTCAAATTAATTCCATCGCCAACGGTCTCGAGTCTGCTTATTAAGCCTGCATATTAAACTCATAATTCATAGCCAAAACAAAATGGTTATTACTTCCTCTGCCTGACAATGAACATTTAACGGAAATATTTTCATAGTAACAGGGCAGACTTGTGATTAATGGATCGTCTGATGCAGTCAGTGACAATGATGTCAGCGCACAGGAGTGGGAAGCTGCTCCAAATACTCCAGACAGATGTAATATTCTTCAGTTGTTTCCTTCCAGCAGGAGAGAAGAGGAGAAGGAGCTGCTCATTACTTTGTGTAATAGGTGACTCATTAATGCCAGCTCAGAGTGCTCAGCTATCACGACTTCTCAACGTAACGGCACCAAAACTCCTGCTTTTCCTCGCCAGGCAGCGGCTCTGCTGTTGTACGAGCACGCTTACACGTGAGAGTGGTCTCGCAATTCTGGAGCTTTTTTCCATCATCTCTTCATGACATTTGTTCAGCGCTCTGACACCTGAGGTGATGGCCTTCATCTCGATGGGACGGAGGTACCTTTCTCCACCTCCGACACGGCTCAGAGAGAACGCGAGTGGGAGAGCGTGGGTGTTGTTGTGTTTGTGTGGGTGATGGCTGGGGGCTACAGGTGTCCGAGGGCAGGAAAAGAGAGACTTTTCAAACGCCCACCCACAGACTCCTGCTCCCCTCACTGCCACAGCCTCCCACAGACACTTTCCATGTGCTAGAAATGTAAATCCTAATACGGCTTTTATACATTATAAAAATCTGATATTTGTCTGGCTTTTATCGTTAGCCGTCTTAATAAATCTGAATCCAACACATGCAGCTCTGAGGCGGTGTTCTTGCATAACATCCTGGTGACATGCAGGATAACCGTGACTTGTTACTGGGAATGGCTGGTTGCAGGTTTCCTTTTCTTCGGGTTGTCTGTAAATCCTGGAGTTCCTGACAACCTGACCGCGGCAGTTAAGTCAAAGAAAGAGGAAAGTTCCAGTGGAGGCGCAAATCACAAATGTGCTGTAACCGTGGCTGGCACTGGCAGCAGGGAGCAAGAGGGCAGGCGGGCACCGGCGGTGGAAACCTGAGTAAATACATTTATGCTCTTTTCTCTCCTCAAAGGCACTTGTGGTCTACAGCGTCTTTTTCCAATACCTTCATACAGTTTACTTCAGCCCCTCGCATTAAGCTAGCATGGAATAACCGCTGGCTGATACAAAGTCCAGGAAAGCCTGAGAAAACTCACTGGAGAACGGGATGAAATATCCCGACATGCTTCCTTTGGAGCGATCCCCAACAAGCATCCTTTCTAAAGAGAGCGTGCTGCCCTGCCTACCTCAGCTGCCTAGCAACAACATTATGTCAAAGAAAACAAAGCACTGAATGTATGAATGTGTATGTTTAACAAACCACTAGTTACACCCAGTTAACCAGTGCTCTGGAAATGTATTTGATACTTGAGACAAGTTACTGTAACCCGTGAACATTTTAAACCTTATATGGTTCTTAAACATATATTTGAATTTTCCCTATAAACTTCTATGTGTTTAGATCAGACACTTTATGTACGCGTCCGTCTGCTTATCCAATCAGCTGACGTGCTTTGGGGCACATCTGTAATGAAACACTCACAGGCGCCGCCCTCACTGTAGGCGCCTTCACTCACCAGAACATCAGAGTTCGTCAGAGCACATTTGATTTTATTTGACCCACCGACAATTAAAGAAAAACGTTTTTGTCCACCGTGTTTGTTTGCAGTTACTAAACAGTCAGCCTAAAAATAGTACAGATAACACAGAAGATTAAAACAAACAACAACAACAAAGCAAGCTCCTCTGAGTCGCAGCGTGCCCCCCCCTCCTTTATGGGAGCTGCTGACACTCAGCAATAATATCAGAGGCTTTATTCAAACAGCAGATGGGAGTCACATCTCTCCCTGCTTCACGCTGTCATCAACAGGTGTCGTTAAAACCTCAAGCTCTTGTGAACTTGAGCACCGTGGAGATGAGTGGAACTGAGCGGGGGGGTTGTCATGGTGACACTGTTGGTGTTGACAGTGACGGTGATGGTAGTGGCGGTAGGCGGGAGCTAAGCGGAGTCATTGCGGTCCTTGCTACCTGTGTGGGCTTGCCTGCGTCTGGCTGCGAGGACGCTGGCTGCAACAAGCCCAAATTCCAAGCAACTGCTATGAGTTACAAAAACAGCACGCTAAATAAGTGCAACCGGTAAATAAGACATGGAAAAGAAAGAGAACATTTGTTTAAAGAGAATGTGAACTGTAGTGTGGCTGTGGGTGACAGTTAAGCAAACTGATGATTGATTTCGCCTCAGTTTTACAACCTCGCGTTGAAATCCGAGGCTTCGCTGCCACCAGCGCAGCACGTATAATCTCTCTGCGCTTCTGAATGAAGGCTGCCAGCTCCCTCCTTTCCCACACATTGCTCCGAGCCGCCTGAGACAAATTGCCAGTCACGCAAAGCTCAGGATTACCACCACCACCCCCCTCCGACCCAAAACGGCCACGTCGGTGGCAAAGCGGTCTCCTCCATCCTGCGTTTGCAGTTCAGCTCTGGCATTCACAGATGTTTGGGAGCCAGAGCGACAATGCGGCTATTTTTAATCAGAGGCTGCCCACACATGGGCGAGTTTACAGCAGGGGAATATTGTGTGTAAGCGAGGAGCTGACAAACATCAGGCAGCCTCCAGGTGGTGAGACTGAGAGCATGGAAAGCAAAGGGGAAGCGGAAAGCTGTGGAAAATTCAACTGGGCCTTAAATATAAGGAGTGACCACAGCCACTTGCAAAGAACCAAACACATGCACACACAAACAGACACTGGACAGCAGCCCTGGCACCTCCACATCCAGAGAAAAGACTCTTATGTAATCTGCATTGAGTGTTTCCACGCTCACAAAGGTTGTGCGAGTGTGCGTCTGTGTGTGCGAATGTGTTAAGGAGAGCATAAAAGCAGCTAGGTGAGACAAGCCAAGCATAAATTAGCTCGAGTGAGTGACAGTAAGAGTTCGGCCCGGTGCAGCCGCAGCTAACCTGCCACCTCCACTATATCTCCTGGGACGATGTCTCTGGCTTTGATCCTCTGGACCGCCTTGCGGTTCATGCGATACACCTTTCCCATCTCAGGTTCGTACTCCTTCAGAGCCTCAATGGCATTCTCGGCATTCCGTTCCTGTGAGATACGGAAAAGAAAAGAAAAAAGTTAATTGCAAGAACAATTTGATGTCCTTTTGATTTGACGTGATGTTCAGTGAGCAAACTCTGCTCATTGCAAAGATGATATCTCCTAATGTGTTGGTGTTTTGCATGGGCTCTGTGGTTTGTTTATGTTGATGAACAGCCTGATCCCTCTGCAGTGTGCTATATGGATGCTAACACGTGTCACTATGGTGTCAGTTTGATTAGTACACACACACACACACA